CATTTTAAACACACCATTTACTGTCACACAGACTCCCTGATACTTTAGTGTGTGCACATGTGAAACCATTTTTTTGAAGTATGAAATAATTGCTCACCATTTTATCTATATAACTTTGGATCTTGGTGTCCTGAGCTCTCTATAAAACAGTATGTTTCCATAGTATTTGAATATTATGGGTAATGGTTTCTGCAGAGTACAGTATGCTTCTACTAAATTATAACAGCATATCCTCATGGTAACCCTATTTGATAGGCAGAAAGCTTGTACACTGATCCTGAAAAGTCATCTGATAATTCTTGATTGAGCAAACTTCATTCCCTGTGTCCCAGTTGAGGGGCCAGAACTATTTAACTTTTACTCTCTTCCTTTCTTCCCTTATTCCCCAGGTTAGGCGAGCCAGAGGATTGTGCTGGCATCGTGTCTTTCCTGTGCTCTGAAGATGCCAGCTACATCACTGGGGAGACAGTAGTGGTGGGTGGAGGAACCCCGTCCCGCCTCTGAGGACCCTGCGACAGCCCACAGGGCACTGTTGGGCTCTAGCTCCTGGTGCTGTTCCTGCATTCATCCACTGGCCTTTCCCATCGCTGCTCACCTTACTGTTCACCTCATAAAATCAGTTCTGCCCTGTGACAACATCCAGCCTTCCCTGCCGTCAAGCTGGCGCCTTACTCAGGATTCCTGCTGTTGCTGTGGCCTTGGGTAAAGGCCTCCCCTGAGAACACAAGACAGGCCTGCTGACAAGGCTGAGTCTACCTTGGCAAAGACCAACAGATATTTTTTGCCCCGGCCACTGGAGAATTTGAGGGGAGATGGGAGAGAAGGAAGCTGGAGTGGAAGGAGCAGAGTTGCAAATTAACAACTTGCAAATGAGGTGCAAATAAAATGTAGATGATTGTGCGACTTTGAATCGAATCCACGTGTTCATTTCTCAGTGTGGGGTGCTTAGCTGAGCAGAGAGCAGAAGTCTGGCCAGGCTGGATCTCTGGATCCCCCAGCCCTCCTCCCTGTCTCCAGGACCTGAGCGTGATGTGCAGGGGTGGAGGTGTCTGCAGAGCTGCCAACTGGAAGGAAGGTGGCACGGGAACTCCCAGGACGCCACGGGGATCACTGAGGCAGGGCCAGGCTGGCGAGGGTGGGGAAGGATGAACTCTCTAAAACCTCCCCGCCCCTTGCCTCCCAGATCCGGCCAGGTTCTCTCCCAGCATGGCCGTAGGTCCCGAGTTCCCTCCCCAGTCAGTAAGGACAAGCTGGACAGGTCCTGGGCAGGTGGGGAATAGAGAAAGGCCCTGCAAGGTACCCAGGCCCACGAACAAAAGAAGTGAGTTCTGCCCACGGCCTGAGGATTGAGTACACGGAAAGCGGGAACGCTACCCCCGCCCCGAAGGCCCGGACACCAGGTTATGCACGCCGGGCCTTTCATGCTGGAGCCCAGTAGAGGGGTAGAGGCCAGCGGCCTGTGGTCTCACGCGGCTAGGCAGCGCGGCGCGCATGCCCAGTCCCGCAGTTCCTCGGGCTGGGCTGGAGAGCGGCGCTCCGGGACGCGGGAGAGAAGCTCTGATGCAGCCGCCCCTGACGGGAGCGGGCTCTGCCACTACTGCAGCGCTCATTGCCTCTACCAAAGCGTAGTCTAGCATGTGTCCCGGCTCCCCGGCGGCAGGGATGGCGGCGGCTCCCCTGCAGCAGCCTCAACAGCAGGAGCCCGTGGCCAAGCCCAGCGTGGAGCTCACCCGCGAGTTTTAAGGTAAGATGCTGCCTACGTCTCTGGGACGACCCATCCGGGAGCATCCCAGACCCAGCGTGTTCCTCCCCGCGGTGCACCCCAGCCCGGTGCCTCACACACCGTCGACACCCCGCGCCATGCATCCCAGTTCCAAGGCACCCCCTGTATCCCAGTCTGGGCATTCATATTCCGGAGCATCCTCCGCTGGAGCTGGAGCTGGAGCTGGAGCTTGAGAAGGGAGGGACGATCGCCATTACTGAGGCTTGAGTAGGCGGTTCTGTGCTCACAGTGTAAGCGAAGCCAGGGGAAGCTCGAACTGGGCGGAGCCCACCTCAACTCAGCAAGGCCTAATGCCTCTCTAGATTCCACCTCAGGCGGCAGGGCGTACCTGAACAAAAAGAAGCAGACAGCTTCTGCAGACTTCAACATCCCTGCCTGACAGCTCAGAAGAGACCAGCGGTTCTCCCAGCACGGCATTTGAGCTCTGATAATGGACAGATTGCCTCCTCAAGTGGGTCCCTGACCCCCGTGTAGCCTGACTGGGAGACACCTCCCAGTAGGGGTCGACAGACACCTCCTACAGGTGGGTGCCCCTCTGGGACCAAGCTTCCAGAAGAAAGATCAGGCA